CGGTTGAATGTGCTGATGTAATGAAATGTAACAGGGTGTTTCGGTGACTCGGGGAACAAATGTAACCACATACACTAGAGTGAAAATGATGACGATTCATGTAAAAAAAATTAGTAAAAGTCCTCAAATTGCAAAGATACAGGCCATCAAAGTTATGAAATTTTAACACATTTTTCTAAATATCTTAAACACTATTTATGGTAAAGCGTTGAAATTTGGTACAGCGTAAACTAACATCACGTAAAATCATTAGGCAATTTTTGAGTTGGATCGGTACGCGGGAACAATGCTATACAGGCTGTTCATAAAGTTTGTTTGCTCAGAACTGTTTTATCCTATCATTACCCTACATTTATTTTTGCATTTTCTAATAGTAAATTTAGTTTAGAAACTTTTATCACTCTTAGAGAATATTGATAAAAACCACCGTTTCCGTATTAAATGCAAAAATGTTAGGCTCCGAATTCAATAACATTAAAAAAAATAAATGTTAAGTTATGAAAATAACACCAACTATAACAATATTAACATTTCGCAAAAAAAAAAAAAAGAACTCCAAATAATATCGAGAATAGGCATCGCGTAAGGCTAAACCAGAATATATTCCTCAATGAATAAAATATTTCAACGGTAGGATGACTAATTGTAAGCTGATATAAAAAAGCGTCGCTATGAATAACTGAATTGCACTATCGACGACCTCTTTTAACCAACAGCGGAACTATACAAATTTTTTTTGCACTTTTCCGAACATCACGTGATTGAACCGCGACCTTAATTTAAACTGCCAAGATAAAGTAGATATCTACATAATATAACGCAATATAACGCAATATAACGCCATCTATCTCGTCGGCCCGATACTAAAAATGACGTCAGTTTGTACGAACACGACGTTAATAAGTGCCAGGGGTATGCTGAAATATATGCAAATTATTTTACGTTTCTCGTAGTAACGCGTATAAGGCGCGTATAGTAAAATTTAAATTTTTATGAATGGCGACATAAATTACCCTGCCATCTGGGTATCATGAACACAAACTAACATCGGTTGAATAACTATGTATATCTATAAATAAGGGTAATATGTTAGAATCGTATGTAGAATAAAATAAATTGTTTGAAAATAAAGCTCTTGAAAATCAGAAGATGTCATATGTCGGTAAGGATGGCAACATTGATTTAGGTTCACGTAAACCAAGTGTTAACTGCATCATACTTAAAATATTAAATTATCTTTATAATTAAATACTACTCTTAACAAATATATAAACAATTAATAAAAATAAATTGTGTTTAAAAATGTAGAATAATTTAAATCGTGCCATCTAGTAATGGGAAACAAAACTATATTTGCCACCAGATGTGTCAGTGACATATGACGCATGAGCTTTTTCGTTAACCTCACATAACCACGCGTAACCATTCTTGCTTTCCATTCAAAAAGTTCAAAGAAGAGTTGGTCTCCAAGAAGTTTCTTTTTCAACGTTGTAGAAAGGTTCAAATATTGCGTATGGAATGTTTCTTGTAATGTTTACGTCAAAACTTCCATCAAATGTCATCCAATAAACACAAAAAAGGCAGATTTTCTATTCTGCATTTTGAAGATGATTAACAGCGAAATGTCCACATGGATTAGGTAAGAATTTTTATAAATAGTATGTTCTGATATGTTTTTAATAAGGGGCATATTTTCAAAACACCTCAAATAATTGCGTTTGTAGAATTCTGTTATCACTTTTTCAAAGTTATATCTGTTTAATATTATTAAATTGATTTAAACAAATTATAACTTAAAAAGAAACAGAAATAAGCCATAGAGGGTTCCAGGTAGGATGTTGTGCCTTTATTTTACCTACATAAAGAAATAAAATCTGGTCAACTAAAACTAGAACAATCACTAGAACTAGAAACTTTCGGGTTAAGCTGTGGCTTCACCATTTTAAAGCAAGGCTTAACCCCAAAGGTTCTAGTTCTAGGTTTAGTGTTAGTTCAAGTGAAAATCTTCATACTTATAAATAAAGTTTAATCTGAAACACACACCGCACTCATCTTTTCCAACTCTATGAAACCTTTCTAAACGTTCTCATCTTTTGAAATGTTAGCTACTTTCAGGGTTTCTTCTGTAGATTATTTGCGACTTGTTTAATGTTTTCATTCTTCCGAACTACCGCAAAATTTACTTTATATTATATTTTTTATATAGAAATTTTTGTTTTACCAAGAATCAAATTTATCAATCATATATATAAAAAACACGTCTTCTCAGTAGTAAATTGTTTTATTTTTTATAAAATTAAAACATTATTTCCTCGACGTTTCGAGCTTTTAATGGTCATTATCAAGAATTAGTATCTAAAATTAAATTAAAACATCAAACCAATACAACGACATACTAAATACAACAATTTAAAACGTTTAAAATTATATTTCTATAAATAATTACGTACCATCTTAGCGCAATCTTACATTGTAAATTTTATTCTAACGATAGCACGTGTCACTAACTGCAAAATTATCGATGGAATAAATTCCATGTTGTTTGAACGTGTCTCGAAAACTTGTATACTTAGGTGGGGGAAAGCGTATTCTTCTATTACCTCAACTTGTTATTTTTATATCTTTTTATGGAATTTGTTAAAAGTAATTTTATATATTTAAATCATGAATTATTCCCGCGTAATGTATCCCGATTCCACCAGCGTCCGTTTTATAATTCACTGTGCTATCTATGTTTTTTGTTATAAATATAGATTCTAAATTTTTTCTATTTAGTGTATTTCCAATAGTTGAGAATACTTTTGGGTTATCAAAATTAAATGTATGGTGTTCTTGTTTACTATGATAGCTGTTTTATGTATGTTTTTTATTTGTTTTGTGTCGCATTCGTGTTGTCGCAGTCTTTTCTTTAAATGTTGTTTTGATTCACCAATGTATGATTTGTCACAATTGTTACATTTTAATTGATATATTGTATTAATTTTGTCTTTTATTTTTATTTTATCTTTCATGTTTGTTAAGTAATCTTTTACTTCGTAATTATTATATTTGGCGAATCCTATTTCGTTAAATTCATATTGTTTAAAAATAGATGTTATTTTATTTGTTAACCCTTTACTGCATGATTTTTTATTTTTAGTAGAAAAAAATTGACAAAGTATAAAAACATACACAAATTGATGGAAAAATATTTAAAAAAATTTATTCAAATTTTAAGCAAACATATTACAAAAAAACTGGTACGTAGCAAATATGACACAGCATGCATTAAATATAACTTGCGACCATAATATAAAATATTGTCACTCTGTATGGAAGCGAACAAAACAATTTCTTTCTTTATTTAAACATAGCGCTACTTGACATTTGGTACAATATATATAAGATTGGGACTTGCAATCAGGAAATTTACAACGATTTCTCTCATTTACTCTCCATTCAGGTAGATGGTCCAGTCCGTCCCTCCGAACTTCCATTTGAGGAATATCAGTAGCTGCTCCTCGTCTCTTTTTCCGTGCAAAGGCGTCTTCAAGGTTGGTTTTGGGCCTTCCTCTTTTTTTTATCTTCCCTGATTTGCATAGAGCATCAGCGATGGCTATTTTGAAATCTGCAAGAGGCATATAAATATCATTTTGCCTTCTCCATAATAGCCAACTATTTACAGCACACAAATCTATCATGTGGAAAAATATTCGTAGGTACCACTTCTTGGACCTTATTTTAATGCGATAGAGGCCAAGCATAGAATCTAACACGTCCACACCTCCCATATATTCATTATATTTCAATATACTTTGTGGACAGTCTATTATCTTGTGGCATTTTTCACTCCTGAAAAATCGTTTCTTAGTTCCTGTTGGTTGTGAGACTTCGTAAGTCGATAGAGTTGACACAACTTTGTTGTCAAACCAAGAAACAATACTTATTTTGATATTATCCTTGATAGCAGTTTTTTCTTGAAAAGCTCCTCTTCCGCGTTTCTTAAATTCTTTTTTTGATAACATCTGACAACCTGGTACTCTATTCAAGCGTACTGTACCAAGAGGAAGTATACCATTTTTGGTTAGATATATCATCAAGGGAATGCTAGTAAACCAATTATCGAAGAAAATTTTATGGTTTACATGCTTTGGTATTGTTTCGGCAAGCTTTACCACAACATTACTGCTTGTTCCAAGATCAGGAGCACCTGTAGGGTAACCAGAGATTCCACTTAGGACAAGTACCTTGTAACCCCATTTGTGAGGTTTCTTTGGATTGTATTGTTTGATGATTGATCTGCTTTTAGTAGGAATAATTTGCTCGTCTACTGCAACATTTTCTTCCATTGGAATCAAACTCAATCTGTGTTGTATATATCTTGAACAACTTATCATGCCCTTCTGAACCCCGAGGTATAAAATTTTCATTGTTGTTAAAATGAATGAAACGTTTGATTTCTTCCCATCTGTTACAGGTCATTACAGAAGAAACCGCAGGATGGCCTATATATGTACACCAGTAATGTTTTACTTGGGGCAAATGAATAACTGACATATACAAACAGATACCAATAAACTGTTCCATTTCATTTTCTGAAATATTTGCCGGTCGATCTATACGTTTCTGAGCGGAATATAAATTTGTTTGGGCAGTAATTTTAGATATCATTTCTTTTGTAAATAGAAACTTAAAAAACTGATACGGAGTTTCTAAATCAATAACTTCCTGTGGCATATTGTGAGCCCCTGAAAACTTTATCTCATCCGGATTTTTTGTAAGGTTTCCTGTCCTCCAGATGCCTGGATTTAGTTTTTCTGCCAGTTTATTTAGAGGAATGTTTTCCTCGCTACTGTCAAAGTCTGTATCTGTTTCAGGTATTATTATATCCTCACCTTGATCAATATCTTGAGGTTCATCGTCATTGTCACTTTCGGGAACTAGAACGCGCTCATCGTCTTCTTCTTCCGAAAGATCGGAATCGTCACTATCATTATCAACTGGTATGTCTCGAACATATCTGTTATTTCCATAAAATAGCTTTACATCCATCTAAAACCACCAAAAACTTAAATGCATAGTGTCCCATATATGACTCATAGTAATTATTCGATAGAGCTTCTAGGAAAATGAACGTAATGATATAAACTTACCTTCAGATGAAAGAGAAATGAATGCACTATGCACCTATATTTATTACAAACACTACAATTGCAATTTACTTTAAAAAAATTGGTCGTGAAAGTACATAACCTCTTACAATAGCACAACTCAAACATGCAACAGGTTGGACACTTTGCAACGATGCGATTTTTTGATAGATAGTAGGGGATTTTTGCTGTGTATGCTTGTCACCGGTCCCAAATATGATACAGCATGCGGTTTTTGATTTATTCAATTCTAAGACTTATAAAAGTAGTTTTTTGGGTATGTATCATATATGACTCATCATGCAATAAAGGGTTAATTGTGGAATGTAATTTATTTTGTGATATGATGTATTAGATTTTCTTTCTGTTCGTTTTTTGGTCTTATCATTGTTCAAATGACTTTGCTTGTTTGTATTTTCTGGTATGTTCGGTTTTATTACTTCCGTGTAATTAGTTATTAAGTTTCTTTTTTTATTATTTTCAACTCTCGATCTAAGGTTGTAATTATGGGATGATTGAGTATTTAGATTTGTGTTAACATTTAATGGTATATCAGTCGTTTCCGCCAATGCGCGATCAACGCTTTCATTTTGGATTCTATGATATATGGAATACCAAGCATTATTTATTATTGGTTTAAGAAATGAGTTTTCTGATAGCATGTCATATACTTTTAATTTAATTTGTTTTAAAAAAGGTGGATCTGTTACTGATATGACTCTACGTTTTAGTTATTTAAAATTACTATAGAAGAGTATGAAATCAATAAAGATCATCTTTTAGTTTCAAAAAAGGTTTTTGATCGCAGGCCTGAGTAATTAAAACTAGAACTAACACTAGACTTAGAACTAGAAACATTTGGATTTAGCCATATGCTAGTACCAACCTGATATTTGCGTGAAATTTAGGTGAGAGACCCAACCTCGTGGTTTCGCTACTCATTTTTCAACTTGTCATTCAACTCTCAAATTCGTGCATTTCCAGCGGGTGTTACGAAACTTATTATCAATGTTTATTGTTTAAACATTTACAAACATAGAATTGAAACCAGACACAATATAGATTTTGAAAATATATTTTATACATAAATGTCAAAAAGGATATAACTCGATCTTTTGGAACTGTTGGAAATCCATAAATATAATGAGAACAATAACTGTACACTCCTCAATGATCAAATTCAAAACATAAATCTAGTTTAAATAAGTTTATAATAGGGCATGTTTCGAGCCTATTTGTACTTTCAATCTTCCCTTCTAAGATACTAAACATAACCACCCCCGTTCAATTTCTGTCTAGATGTTTCTTATGACGGTGATAAATACATTGGAAATATTTTATTTAGATAGATGAAAATATTCTAAAACTTTTTTGCCTCTCTGATGTTTTTCGAAAAGTTAATAGTTTCTGAGAAAAAAATTAATTAAGCAAACACTAACTGTTAAGCTTTAGAGTTGTTAATCGAAAGTTGGAATGAATTTTTAATGAACAAATCTTACTAGGCTTTGCAATCTTTGTCAGAAATATTTTTGACGTTTAAATATCAGTGGTTTTCTTACTATTATTATTGTTTTATTTAAAATTTTGAAACGTCGAGTGAACGAGCGTAAATGCGATAGAACTTTATTCAAAAATTAATTTGAAGAACAATAATAATAGTAAGAAAAACTGACATTTAAACGTCAAAAATATTTCTGACAAAGATTGCAAAGCCTACTAAGATTTTTTCATTCAAAATTCATTCACAAAAAATTAAACCAAACTTTTCGTCATTTTTGTCATTTTTTTCTTTATATTCCACGGTTTTTTTAAACGACGCCATTAGTTATGTCACTTTCATCTTCATTTTGTTTATCCATCAAATATCAAAATGTGGCAGTTCTCTATGATTTTCACTCCGGTTTTCTTGTAACTTTTTTGACTGTAAGTATTTTTTGATATGTCTTTCTCAAAATTAAATTCAACTCTCCCCCCCCTTATTCCTAGAGGCCATCTTTGTTTCTTCGCTCCATAACTTTCATTAATTTTTTTTAAAAAGTTTTTAATGTTTAGTACATAATATAGTAGTTTTTTATATTGTTCGAAGTTGTTGTTTGATTCTTCATACTTATTCGGTGTTGATACCAATAGTGTTCTTTAATAAATAAATTAAATAAATGAAATCGATTCCAGCGGCAGTGATTTCTCCAACAAGATGAGCATATGCTTCGAGCTTATTTCAACTAATTATTTCTTAACCAATGGATTGGGAGAAGAGGGCTAATTGGGTCATTTAAATCATTAATTATTTATTTATTATTTATCATTAAAACGGTTGTTACCAATAGCTACTGCTATTTTTATAATTTGAAGCAAATATAAAGTAATTTTTTTGCAAAACATTGATTGTACTAAATGTCAAAAAAATCCTCCTTCATGTTCCATAATAAAAAGTGTATTTGAAAATAAACATTACTTCTTACATTGTTTCTAATTAGTTCCAATAAAACATTTCTAAGATGTAAGATATATTTTTTTTATCTATATTTCTCTTTGTGTATTTTAGGTGGGGGCCAACCGTCCAATAATATAGATAGTATCGATTTGTCGCTGTTGTGCATTAATTAATCTTGCATTGAAATTACAAACACCTGCAATAAAATTACTTTGACTAACAATTAAATGACACCAGCTATGGTTTTCTTGTAGTTCAATTATCGAAGACAATTCCTCAGTTTAACAGGTAATAGTTTAATTTATTTTATCAAATTTGTTTATAAATTAATCAACATAAAACTATAACCTTTTTGTGTTAATGTATTACAATAATGATTCTGCATTATAGCTTAAATTCATAAATCACAAAATGGTTTGATGTTGAAGAATGTGTACTTGCAATAGTTTTTATGTGTTTCAAAACAATTTTTGTAAATTAAACAATGCATCTTTTATAATTAACCTATAAATTGTATCCAAAACATGATTACTAAAGGCTGATTAATTACGTTAAATATGAAACAAATTTTAAACAATACAGTACAATTTTAAATAGCAAATTAATATATTGAGAAAAATGTGCAAGTTTTTATTCTTAAGAAATGTTATTTCCAAGTACATTGTTGTTTTCAACTATAAAACTTTAAATTAGGAAGTGTTCAGTTAATTTTAAATAAGTTTTACAATGTTTCAATATAAACTACTAACTTGGTTCTTGTTTGTAGACATATTCTTAGTCTTTACTATAAGGCTTACTGCCTATATTCTTGGAGACCATACTTTTTTTTGAATAATATAATGGTTAGCACTCATGAATAATGTTGTAGAATTAAATGGAACAGATGCATTTAAATTATTGTTTGAAAATATAGTCAACTATTTGGAAATAAGAAAGAATATTTCATATAAAAATTGTAGGTTTTTTTAAAATCTATTGCAATAAAAAAAGTAGTAACTAACCTTGTATACAAATGTGATAGAAATTAATTCATGTCATATAAAAATAAAGAGTTTTTTAATGGGACACCTGTATAGAAACGTATGTACAAAAATGTGTACACTGCATCCCAAAGTTAATCAATTTCCAAATAATATTAAAAGGAAATGCGTGAAGGAGTCCTATTAACTTTATGTCATCACTTAGTCCTTTTGATTTGTTTCTGTTCTGTCTCTTTCTAGTGGTATAGGGGTCTAGGTAACTTAATCTCATCTTGACTATTTATGTTTAACAGTTCCATCAAATGTTCCTTCCAACTTTGCCTCAGTATTAATCCGTTATTACACTTTACAGCGTTAGTCTCAACTGTTTTCTAAGGTTTCTAAGGTCAATATTTTAAAAAAGAACTGTTTGATTTTCCTTGCCACTTTCTTATTAAAGAGGAAAATTTAATCATCATAACTTTCTCGTTTTTTGTTGAATATTCCAAATAAATTTTTTATTTCTGATACCTTTTATTTCTTCTGAACACCACGCTGTCTGGTCCACATTGCTGTTTCTTTTATGCCTACTACATATGATTTTTGCAACTTCTAGTATAGCTGTTTCGAAATGATTCCATTTGTGTTTAATATCGCCCATCTCAATTTAAATTAATCTATTTTCAGCCAATTTCTTTGTTAGAATTTCCTCATTCCTTCCCTAATTATATCCGTTCACAATAAATATATAATTTTGTATTTATTAACAATTTTTCCCTGAAAGTACTAATCTGTAACTCAGGATAATTTCATATTTTCCCTGCATACCTTTATTAGTTTCATTTAAACACTAAATACACATATCAGCAATAAATTCAATTCAAAAGGCATTTTTAAGTATTCAAAATGACTTGGCTGTGTAACATTATTTCAGTTGTCACTTATGTCGACTTGGTTGATAATTCTTTGTCCATCATCGTATTTTCTTCCATGACTTCTTGATGAAGTGAAGAAGATATTATCTTCGTGTTCCAACTCACACAAGTTTAGTTTAAATTAACATTAATAATGAAACTACTAAAGTTTTAACATAAATGCATAACCACTGTAATGTAAAATTTAAGTTTTTTTCAATTGCCATAATTTTATACTACTATGTACCATGTGAAAGTATTCCCAGTAATTATTTTTTCTAATAACTATGAAGTGTCGCACAGATAGTACATATAAATTATTGAATTACAATACATGTTAATTAATTAATTACATGTTTTTCTTTTTGTTTCAGCTTGTGTACGAATCACATGGATTTATGATCTATCATAGTGCAACTAAAATGGGGCCATTACGTTGATAGTAAATATTTTGTCTGATATTCAATGGAACTTCCTTCAGTATGTTTATCAAATTAATTTTGAGAAATGAAAATTGATGCTGATTTTGCTGTCACCTGTGGGTTATTTTTATACCAACATAAATTTGCATATTATTTCCACAATATGCTGCTGAGATGTCTCAAATATAGTTAGGAACCAGTCTTTTATGGCTGTGCTATGGATAGGTACGCAAGCGTTCTACCAAGAATGATTTCATAGAACTTGAATATTTCTTTGTGGAACACTTGTGTACGTGCAACCTGTATATTTTGGGACCTGCTTTTTTGATAATTTGTTTTATTAAAGTTCCCAAAATATTACTCTTCCTTATAACTGCTTACTTTTCTGTGTACTGGATATTATGTAACTGTTCATACAATTATTTCGAGTCCTTCAAACTTATAAGTATAATTTTTAAAATTATCTCAATGTTTTGAATTTGAAGAATATGTTGCTATCATACTTGAGTCATGATGCTCAATGTCCATAATGATTGTTTGAAAAGGACTCATCTTGGCCAACGAGGTTGAGATGAGATCTTTTCCAGATATATTTCAAAATGTGACTATATTTCACTATTATAACTACAAGATATGAGCCGATTTTGCTCATAAAATACACAGGTTGGTTCGCTACAAATGCGATTATTTCAGGTTTTCTGTCGAAAATTAAGATTACTTTTTTATACGGTGGTTCCAGGTCAAACTCGGATATTGGAGCTTTTCTTACTAAAAATGTTAAAATTAAAACAGTTCAGAAAGAAAAGCAAACTGAACCACTAATAAAGTTCAAGCTTGTACTAGTGTGCCATATAAGACACGTTAGTGTAGATTTAAATAAGATACTTATAGAATAAAAAAGTATTTATGAACAAAGCCGATGTTATTTAGAAGAACAATAATTTGAAATGTATAGGCATGTGTAACTGCAGTTGCTGGTAAAGCTATATGTATATACAACTAACGCTTTTAAAAATCTGTGCCGTGGTGCAAAAAAGGCCAATGTTAAAATTCTTACTTTTGAGTAAATTAAGAAAACAGATTTGCCACTTTTTTTAGCTCAATGCAAGTCGTTAGTTTACTCAGTTTACTTTATTGATGTCAACGTCAAGGTAGAACACTTTACTTGGATTTTCTGGTCGATATTGCATAAATTTGATTAATGACCATTTAACAAATTGTCCTAGAGTACTGTTTTTGTGGTGAACACAATTCAAATTCAGTAAAGATTTACATTTGAGGAAATTTCTCTGCTTCATTTCAACAGCTTTTATTGCAGACTTACTTTGGATCGTCCGTATTAAGATTGCCCAGTCCCTAGGCAGCTCAATTTACTACAGTAGTCTTTTTTGCTTTCTCTATTGCAGCGGGGATATCAGCTTCCATGTGGGTATGACCAGCTTCCAGAAATTTATGGTTGATTGTTATATCGTTACCTTGTCGTCTTAAATAGTGAACAGTAGGTAACAACATCAGACAGACATAGATATTTTTATTTTGTCCAGGACATGAGCCACTGTACAAGTTAACTTCTTGAACATCATGTTCTAAATTCATAAGATACTGAAAAAGACACAAACATATCTCCTGTCCACCACGTGCTGCCAATGTTTCATCCCATAAATAACAATATGCCGATGTTGGCCTCAAACCACAAGTATCATGAATTGTCAAGTTTAGTGTCTAAAGTTTACGTTTGTAGAAAGCAATACCACTTGTCCAGGCATTTTTCTAAGTCAAATGATGCAGTGACTATGTGCTTATCTTGTCTACTTCTTATTTTGTCAGATTTCTGTTCTTTATAGGAAGGTAGATCAGCTAAGTCTAGATGCTCGTTTAATTGAGTTTGGATATAGTAGAAACTACGAGAGCTGGCAGTGACTTGACGTTTAAAAATGGTATGAATCAAGATATGGACGTACGACTTAGATTATTTCACCACCTACGTTTAAATGTATGTTAGGTTAGTAATGGAGGTTATATGTCAAACATTGTCAAATTTAGGAGAGGTTAAGCAGCGAAAAATCGTTAATATTAATTTATAATAAAATTTATGTAATAATTAATTTATTTAACAAATACTTTAAAATGTTATTTACAGGTCGCAAGGGATTAAGTAAGTTTTATTTAACCCAGATATGCCTAAATTGAAACCACTTTACAAATCATAATAACTTTATTGAAAACTTATTTAAAGAAGCAAAACAAAGTCTTACAAACAAACATGACAATTTTTTTTTAAATTGGATATTCGGGCCGTCCTACATGTAGGACATTCGGCACATGAATATCTATAAACGTAAAATTATTTATTAGTGTGATACTGAACAAAACACTTCGTGTGTACACCAATGTCACATTTTGCGCATCTCGTTGTAGGTTTTTGATGGCAATGACCACACCTAGTTTGTTTTTCTTGGGTCATAACTAAATGATCTATTCGGTCGAACCATATATCTATTTCGTGGGACCTACTGGTATGTCCTTTTTGATATGACGATATTTTTTTATTCTGAACCCACAGCATTACAGGAATTCTCCTTCTAAAACTAAGTTGATCTAATTCTCCTCCATTCTTGCGATGCAAATGCCATGCGTTTTGAATTGCCATGTCAATACAGTGAGATATCAAAGGAAAATACCATTTTTTTTCTCTGATCGAAATTCGATATAAGCTGATATTTTGGTCAGAGCGGTCAACACCTCCCATATTTGTATTGTACATCTGTATAAGATGCGGCTGCTGTACCTGAATATTCTTCTTTTCTTTTTGCGAATAACGTGTGACCGAGTGAATTGGGGCAACTCCAGAAAAATTGGAACAAACAGAAACTACACTATTATCGTGCCACTTTACTGCAATTATATTCTGTTCTACAATTTTTGCATAATCATAACTTCCTCTGCGCTGCTTCTTTATGAGTTTTGAATCTATAAGAGAAATGTCTTTTAGCCTGTTTTCTCTAACCGTACCAGTAGCATAAAAATTCCAGTCAGTTAGTTTTTCGATCAACGGAATTGACGTAAAAAAGTTATCAAAAAAGAGTTGATATTTTTTATCTGGCTATTCCTTACGTAAAGCTTGCGCATATTCTAAGACTATTCCAGCACCAACTCCCAATTCAGAAAAGTTTTCACCTATATTTGTAGAGACTCCTTGATAAGGTTTGAACCAATTCAAGTAACCTAACCTGGTACTTCCTACCCATAACTTATATCCATAGCGCATGGGTTTTCCTCGAATATACTGCTTACAGCTATGACGTCCATAATACGGAACCATAGCTTCATCAACTGAGTGCATTTCTTCAAGCGAGGAATTCTCCATGAATTTTTTATTCAATTCTGTGATCGCCGAATTCGTAGGACTCTCAAAGTCGGTGGGCGGTAATTTCAAATCTTCTTTTATCCAACTTTTTTTTAGTTTTTACTTTTTGTTTGTTTCTTGTTGTCGTGTTTTGTGATTGTAACTCTGATAGAGGTATATTGTCATCTGATGAAAAGTCACTGTCGTAGTTACTTTCAATTACGATTTCCACCGGCGCTTGTAACTGTGATGCCGGTAGGTTATTCACTGTAAGATCATTTTCTGCTCTAGAATCTTCATCTTTCAGGTCGGCTGCAGCGTTTTCAGGAGGAAATATAGTTATTTCATCAACCTGGCTGATAATGTCGTCATTGTCCTCAAGCATAGCAAGGGCTTCATGAAGCGAAAACCTCCTGTAATTAGATGAACGTGATAGTCGTTTATTACCCTAATGTCCTATATATAGTACACCCGTCTTTCACCCCCCCTAATTTATACTCTAATTTACTGAATAATGCAAAACTTTTAAATAATACTAATTATACAACTATTTATTGTTACTGTAATCAAAGAATCATAATATTATTCTAATTTCTATAATTGAAAATTACCTTACCTTTCAGAGCGAACCGGGTAATAATCCATTTCCAACTAATCTTGACTTTCGGATACACTTAAAACAAAATCTAAAGAAAACACCTAAACTTATTAACTTATTAAGTTATCACTCCCACTGCTACATCTAAAGGCGCGTACACATAGAGCGAACGAAGGCGAACGAATTCAATCGAACAAATTTGGACGAATTCGTTCGGTATTTGCTGGAAATATCGGCTGGCGTCCACATAAAAACGGATGTGTAGCAAACGAATTGTTTCGCGCTCATTCGCTTGTTTTCGGTCATTAGTGGAAGTTGGAAGTCGGCCCATGTGATAATGGCAACAAATGATGACTTAATTATTGTTGCAAGTGCAGCATGCATAATTATAAGTGACGAAGAGGAAAGGCAAAAACGAAAACGACGCTGGTGGATGACATCTTTATTTAAAAGCAGAAGTAGATATAGGGGAATGGATTTATTGAAAGATTTAACGACCGAAGTCGAATATGGGCTTTTTGAAAATTTCTGTAGAATGAAATCTGCAGATTTTGAATGGCTACTGAATCGTATTGGCCCGAAAATAGCAAAACAAAATACATCATTCAGAGAAGCGATACCACCAACGGAAAGATTAATGCTTACATTACGTTACCTAGCCACCGGGGACTCATTCACTAGTTTAATGTACACCTTCAAAATTTCCAAGCAACTAATTTCTTACATCATACCGGAAGTTTGTTCAGCAATAATTGAAAGCCTCGATGATTACGTGAAGGTAAGTAAAATAAGTAAGTAAAAATAATATATTTTCTTAATACAAGTTTATTAACGAAAATACAAAAGAACAGTCATTATTATTTGAATTAAATTAAATTAATTATCGACATCGCTAAAAGTATTAATGTAATCTATTAAAGGTGCCAAAGGAGTTGTAGTATTGGTTTGAGGTTGTTGATAGGGAGTGTTAATATATGTGGGTTGGTTGTATGTCGTTGATGCGTTTGAGGGTGAAGGTGATGGAGCGGAAGAACAAATACTTTGTGGGTATGATAAATTTTGATCATATTGCGAGCATGATGAATCTGTGGGTGAAGGTGAAGGAATGGGTACTGTAGCAGGGGCATTGTATTTACCCATATCAGCATCAAATAAAATATTACCAATTAGGTGTTCAATTACATTTCTAGTGTACTGGCTATAAGTTCTATGTTTTGAGGCTATGTGCTCCCCGTAAATTGTGCTGGCATCTCTGAAACTGCGACTTTTGACTGTGTCTTTTAATATTTCGTAGGCTTCTTCTGCACGAGAATTTTTCGTTTTGATAGCCGGCCGTTTTATCTTCCTTGGTGAACAGAAATCACATTTTCGTTTCGGTGTTTCAACTGATGTTCGTATATTTTCTTATAATCACTGGGTTCTTCAACAATTTTGTTGAGATCGTCCACCTCTTCTTCTTGGGTGTTCCTTTGAAGCACGGATAATTCCTACAAAAAAATATTTTAATTGACTGTATATTTTATGTACATATGAATATTGTATAAACTCAGTAAGTTTGGCCCTATTGGTGACTGATTAGATATTGGTATTCATTTTTTCAGATGCCTAGTAATGCAGAAGAGTGGCGGAGTGTAGCTGAAAACTTTAATACTCAATGGAATTTTCCTCACTGCCTTGCAGCTGTAGATGGCAGACATTGCATACTACAAGCACCAATAGACAGCGGAAGTGACTATTTTAATTATAAACAGAATTTTAGTATTGTTTTAATGGGTATTGCCGACTCAAATTATTCGTTTTTGTTTGCCGACGTCGGTTGCCAGGGTAGAATTTCAGATGGGGGTGTGTTAAAAAATTCTGTTTTCTGGAAAAAAACTACAAAACAGTGACTTAAATTTACCGCCTGAAGAAGTTCTAGGTAATAGGCAGACAAAAGTTCCGTATGTGTTCGTCGGCGATGATGCTTTCAGCCTTCATCAACACCTTCTGAAAACATATCCAGTAGAACAAAAAAAGGGATCAAAAAAACGAATTTTCAATTACAGATTATGTCGTGCCCGACGAGTAATGGAAAACATGTTTGAGATAATGTGAGCTGTGTTCAGAGTGTTAAGAAAAGTAATGTTATTATCCCCAGAAAAGGCTACGACAGTAGTTTTGACTTCTGTCTATTTACATAATTTCTTAAGAGAAAGCAGACATTCCCGAAACCTTTATACACCGCCCGGAACGTTTGATGATGATAAAGACGGTACCGTCATGCCTGGAAGTTGGCGCAAAGTCACAGATATGACGTCACAATCGTTTGTTCCAATGACAAAAGTTGGAAGAAAAACTTCAGCTAATTGTGAAGCAATAAGAAACGAGTTTGCAGATTATTTTATGAACGAAGGGAGAGTTGATTGGCAAAACGATTATGCTTAAATATTCTGTAATTACTCTATANACATTTTTTAATAATGTATCCAGCAATATATGTCAAGGCATTTTCTTGTGGTAGTTCGATCTTGTGATAATCACTGGAATCAATAGCCAACACTTTGGTAAAAACCGATTCCTTTGGCATCAAAATATTTGTGTTTCTTGATATTTGTTGGGGTTTTAAATTCATTAAAACCACATCTAAATCTTCTATGCAATTAGCTTTCTCGGCAAATTGGAAAAAATTTAAACAAAATAATTTTTTAAAAGCCCTGTTAAACTGGATAGGCGTTGGATTTATCGAATTGCCACCTTGTTGACGAACTGACCCAAAAAAGTTTTCCAGGGCATCCTGATTAAGACGCCTAGTCCGTAAATGGTTGATTCCCTTCTGTTTTGTTATGGTCCATAACTCCTTTATCGAATTTATGGTAATTTGCCAGCCATTTATAAAATTCATTCGATTTGTTACATTGATGCCATTATTTAACACTTTAAGATTTTTAAAATATTCTACCATATCATTTAAGATTTTAATTTGATCAGCATTTGCTGTGAACGGTCTGTTATAAATTTTTGGACTGTTGAATGTCTGAGAATTTAAAATATCAAATAAATTGTCCATTCTGGAAATGAAAGCTGCTGTGGCCATTGCATCTCCAGTGAAATAATTCAGCGCGATGTAAGTATTTAATCCAGCAGCAACAGATGCACTGAATATTTGCGCTGCCAATTTCACACGCATTTTTTGGAAATTATTTGGATTAATATGTTCATTCGTGAGCCGTGGAGCCTGTCTAAATGTCTGTTGCTTATCTTGATTGTAGAACCTCTCAACATATTTTTTATCAGTAACTCCTTCTTCAACAACAAAATTATATTTAAAAAACTGAGTATTTTTTGTTTACAAAATTTTTTTCTTAAATTCTGCGTTATGAAGATATCTACAAAAAGAAAAATTAAACATTTTTCAAAATGTAATTAAAAAAATTTAATAAATAAAAAAACGATTTAATTAATTGTAAAATAGTACTAAAATTCTTCTTCATTTTTTAAATTACCTTAGAACATTGATAAAAATTTATAAAGTTACCTTTATACATAATAATATAATATATAATAATATTAATAATGATAATGATATTAATATTGATAATGATATTTATGGAAACGCATAAAAAGTGTACTCTATCCACCGAATTATCATCATATGTGAAGTTTCATTTTTTATTTATTAAAATTTAAACCTCCATATCCATCATCTCTACATACGTATAAATGACTATATTGAGGTGTAGATAGTTCAGTTAGTCCAGTTCATACATGTTTAGAAAGTTAAAAATACTACCTTTATTCTTGGCAAGACCTCTCGAATTCCAAAGTAATGTCCTCATCGATAGGAATTTCTTCTTCTAGAAATATTCTTTGTCTTCTTCTGTCTGGCATGACTAAATTATTTAAATTTGTAAATGTTTCTTCACCTTCTGACTCCGTTATTGGGTCTTGAGATTCCTTTGTAAAGGTAAGTGGTGTTCTGATTTCTTTTGTCAATGCTACACCTCGTGAAGACATGTTGCCAGGTGCCTTTTTGTGTGTATTTTTTGCTTTGTTGTGAGTTTTGTATCGTATCGTTGATGAGATCGTTGTTGAGTTTTTCGGAGTAGTTCCAGTGATTTTTTGTAGTGATTGTTTTTTGACTATCAGAATAATCCACCATTTGTCTTCGAGGCGCTGTGCTAGCAGCAAAATTGACTGTCCTTTGTATAGCGTCATCTTTCTTTAAAGGGGTGTAAAAATCAGTGTGGTATATATTTCTGATGTTTTTTTTAGCTGCACCTGTTCAGGATTCTTTATTAGTAGATTGATTGGCTTCATAAGCCGAGTAATTATGAGTGGCCATAATTTCTTTTATTTTTTTTTGGCGTAAGTACTCAGGACACACTCCGTTTACTAACGGAGTTCCTGCCTCGGTAGAAAGATGTGATTGTCCACAATGAACACATTGTGTAGTGTCGCTTTGACAAATATGTAAATTGTGATGATCCGAACATTTAGAGCATCTTTTTTGAGACTTGCATAACGTTTTTGTATGTCCATATCTTAAACAATTAAAACATTGTATAACAGGGGAAATGTACACTTTCGGAATACCATGGCTATACCAAATTGATACATGTCTAGGTAATTTAGTACCTGCAAATGTTACTACAATAGTTCCTGTTGTTACAAATATTATTTCTCCTTGGTCATTGATTGTTTTTCTTTTTAATCTTTAGATATTTAAAACTTCGCGTCTATTTTCTGTTTTCATTAGTTAAAATTGTTTCTTCTGATAATAAGGTATCAACACCTCTAATAATTCCTTTGCATGTTACTCTGTGTGAGGGAATAAATGCCCTCCAGTTTTCTTTTTTGACTAAAAAACATGATAAGAATTCATTAGCTCTATTGTAATTGTTGAATTCAGCTTCAATTACGCTTCTCCCTCTCTTGTCTACTCTCATAATTCCTTTTAAACCACTTTCAAAAAGTTTTTTGCCTACCTGCATATCGCGTAAATTTCCAATATTTTTTTCTAAAGATTCCACATATCGTCGTTGTCATTTTAATATCTTCTATGTGCAAAACAGATTGTTTTGAGTAAATTAACAAAAACTATTTAAAAATTGTTTGAAAAGTTTACAGGGTTTTATTTGTTATCTAATGCACCTTAACAATGTTTTTCGACATTTTGATATTATAATTTATCTAGTTTCATGATGCTACACGAGAGTTTATATAATATTTGTGTGGTAGGCTACACATATGAGGTATTAAATGTTCGTTATGTTCACATAGGTGACATTGTTTTTAAATAAATTCTGCAAAATAAATTTTTGAACAGATTTTATTTTTATTTTAGAAAACAGGTAATTGTAATAAAAAAGTAATTATTCAAAATGATTAAAACAAAACTTTAAAACGGAATTTTTTTTTTGTCGGGTTTAAATGTAAGAGAATCATAAAAAGGTCGATGGGGTTCTTCAATAATTGACTTCATTTTTTGAAGATGCCGATATTTAGATTCGCTTATTGGAATCGGACTGCGACATAGAAAAATATATATTTGTAAATAGAAGCTTAACTCCCCACTATTTTTCGATCCCATTGAATTCAGCGCACCCAAGCGGATAGTGTGGCAACTAGTTGTCTTAAAGCGCGAAATTTAAACATAGGTATTTATATACTGGTTTATACCAATAATTNCCCCGTCTTTGCGAATAATTCTCCATCTTCAATAATTCTTCGTTTACTCTTTAATCTTTGGTAATACACGTAACACATACAGTAAAAATCACAAATGAATAGAGTTACACTTGGTTATACGATAGAACAGCGTTCCGCAAACTTTTTTAAATAGCGACCCAAAAATATCAATAAAATGCTAATGGGACCCATAAGAAATTAAATCTATTATTAAATATAATACTTGTGATGATAATAGATATTTACGCAACCCATTTTTCGACCCTTCCCGACCCAAAATTGGGTTGCGACCCAGTGATTGCGATTCGTCACATTTGTAGGTGTGGTTTGTTATAGTCAGGGCATTTAAATTGGAATGTCTTCCTATCTCTTTTCAAAACTAAAGTTTCTCACTCTAGCGTCGCATCTTGTTTACTCTTTAATCTTTGACTTTAGTTTTTTCAATGTTACCAACTTTGACATTTGAAATATCTCTAATTCTATTTGTCAAACGATTATTTAAAAATATTTTTAATTATGCACGATATTTCGTAATTTTGATGCTATTTTAAATAAATTTTCTAATATCTATTCATTTTCTTCTGATTTCAACGATAAATTTTCCAATATGTTCTATCTCCCTCCCAGACACCAAACACATCATCGACATACCTGATCCAACTGTGGATATTTTCTTTGAAAGGGTTATTATTATTAATAATATTATTATTTTTGATGTAATCGAGAAAATATCAGCTAGTACACCTGATAAAGGCATTCCCATAGGGAGTTCTTCTTTGATTTTATAGAACTCATTGTTAAAAGTGCAAAAGTTTTGAGTTATTATATGTTTGAGTATGGTATTTAACTGATGAATTGTATCGTATTTGTTTTTAAAAAAAGAAGAAAATAGTTGGTTGGTTAGATTTAAGGTCATGTCTATGGGAACATTGGAGTATAGATTGGTGACATCAAATGAAATTAATATTTTATTGTTGCAATTGATGTGTTTAGTTTTTTCTATGAATTTAAACAAAATTTTGAACTGAGTATTTAGGTTTGTAATTGATTATTTTAAATATATTAAACATTAAACTAGCTAGTTTTTGTGTGGGGGATTTTAGAAAAGATGTAATTGGACGCAAATACCAATAATACCAAAACGATATAATTAAATTGATCAGTTGACTTCGATGGTCATATAGTAAGGAAGTATCGCAAGGAAATGCATCATGAAAAACAGAAGTATTTATATAATTCTTAATGTAATAGGTAAGGGAACTTTTTATATTTTTATTAAAAATCCTGTGTTGATTCTGGCGAATGACTCGTTCCGTAATTAAAATAATTTTTTCCACATCATCTAATGCAGAGGCGTCCAAACTTTTTGCTGCGAGGGCCAGTTTGGTATTTAAATTCATTAGCTGGGGCCAAGCATTGTAAATATGTGAATTAAAAAACCTTATTACGAGTAAAGCAGCATTGAATTTTATTTTTTATAGTAAATTACAGATATAACAATACTAAACAAACATGTCTAAATTATATTATTATAAAATTATTTCATGCAATTTTTAATGGGANAAAAATAACATATTCTTGAAAGCAAACCAAGTTGATGTATACACATCACTGGTGCCAGAGCCAGTTTTCATAGTTTGTTCGTGTTTCTGTCGTTCTCGCCTGAATGAACTTAAAAGGGAATCCATTTTTTTTTGCTTCGCCTGCTTCACAATTAAGATTTTTATCAATTTTATTCCAAGCGTCCATTTTTTTAATTTTATTTTT